GAAGAGTATGTTTCTGAGAATTCTCAAAAAACATAAAGGCGGGAGAAGAGTGGGGGCGGGTGGGAAATGGTGGTCACTCTAAGATGAGAGTCACTCTAAGATGAGAGTCACTCTAAGATGAGAGTCACTCTAAGATGAGAGTCACTCTAAGATGAGAGTCACTCTAAGGTGACTGGGAGGACCTAGGCCAGGCACCACAACTTACTGGCAGGGCTGGCCAATCGGTCTTTTGGCATAGCTCTCAGCGAGCAAGCAGCAGTAACTAAAACAGCCAAAATACACGTGTAGATAGGTTATTTTTGAGACGTCTCAAAAATAACCTACCTATGACTGTCTGCTCAGCGAGCAGCAGATTAATCTGGGCATAAAGCAAAACATAGACACTAAAAAACTGCCTGTACTGGCCGGGCTCTCACAGCTCTCACCGCTCTCACAGCTCTCACCGCTCTCACCTATTCATCTCACCACCCTCGCAGGCCGCTCATGATCCGAGACATTCACATGCGCACGGGCATCACTCTCAGAGAGCTGGCTGCATCTCCTCCCTACTGGTAGGGCTGGCCTGGCCCCCTTTGCATGTATCATTCACCAGTGCCTCCTCCTTTCACCCCCTTCCCTGCGCAGGCCGCTCATGATCCGAGACATCCACATGCGCACGGGCGTCACTCTCAGAGGGCTCGGCGCGCCTACCCACTGGCAGGGGCCCTTTGCTGACCAGTTCACCAAATACGGCGCTGTGCGGGTGAGATTGGGGGTTTGGGGCGGGGAAAGGGATGGGGATGGGATTAGCATGTTGTAAATCAGAATTGAAGGAGAATAGAACGGCACTGGCAGGGGCCCTTTGCGGACCAGTTCACCAAATATGGCGCTGTGCAGGTGAGATTGGGGGGGTGTGATTGGAGGTGGGGGTGGAAATGAGGATGGGAGTAGCGAGTGGTGCAACCAGGGTTGACGGAGAATAGAACAGCACTGGCAGGCGCCCTTTGCTGATCAGTTCGATTTTTGAGTCGACTCAAAAATCGACTCATCACACGAGAATAGAACGGCACTGGCAGGCGCCCTTTGCTGACCAGTTCATCAAATACGGCACCGTGCGGGTGAGATGGGGGGGATGGGTATGGTGATGGGAATGCGAGTGGAAAGCCGTACAACCAGGGTTGAAGGAGAATATGGATGCACTGGCAGGCGCCCTTTATTGATCGGCTCACCAAACACGGTGGTGCTGTGCAGGTGAGATGGTGGGGGTTGGGGCGGGGATGGGGATTGGGATGGGGATGGGGATGGGGATGGGGATGGAGATGGGGATGGGGCAATCAGGGTTGAAGGCGAATAGGCAGCACTGGCAGGGCAGATTTTGCCGACCAGTTCACCAAATACTGTGCTGTCAGGGTGAGATGAGGTTTTGAGTATAGGGTCGGGGTGAGAATGTGACGCACTGGCAAGGGCCCTTTGCAAACTAGTTCACCAAATACAGTGCTGTCAGGGTGAGATGGGGGGGTAGGGGTGGGGCTGGGAGTGGTGGTGACATTGATGGTCATGGCAGGTTGTGTCGCCAGGGTTGAAAGAGGTAGGGAAGCAGAGGGATGAGAAGTTGAAGCTGTTTTGGCAGGACACAACCGACCTTTGAGTCGACTCAAAAGTCAACGTGGTGGTGACATTGATGGAGTTGACTTTTGAGTCGACTCAAAAGTCAACGTGGTGGTGACATTGATGGAGTTGACTTTTGAGTCGACTCAAAAGTCAACGTGGTGGTGACATTGATGGAGTTGACTTTTGAGTCGACTCAAAAGTCAACGTGGTGGTGACAATGATGGAGTTGACTTTTGAGTCGACTCAAAAGTCAACGTGGTGGTGACATTGATGGAGTTGAATTTTGAGTCGACTCAAAAGTCAACGTGGTGGTGACATCGATGGTCATGGCAGGTTGTGTCGCCAGGGTTGAAAGAGGTAGGGAAGCAGAGGGATAAGAAGTTGAAGCTGTTTTGGCAGGACACAACCGACCGACCTAACTAGGTGACTTTTGAGTCGACTCAAAAGTCACCTTGAAAGAGGTTGGGAAGCAGAGGGATAAGAAGTTGAAGCTGTTTTGGCAGGACACAACCGACCGACCTACCCTCCTCCCTCCCATCATGCCGCAGGTTCCCCCCGCGCGTGCTACCTGCTGCTGAGGGAAGGCGAGAGCATACTTCTGTTTGGAGAGGGGTGCCAGGGAGGTGGGGAAGCGACGGCGTGAGAAGTACAAGCTCTTTTCGCGCAACACAACTGACTTCCCGTCCTCCCTCCTTCCCCTCCTCCCTCCTCACCCTCCTCCCTCCCATCACATATCAGGTGTCCCCCCGGGCATGTTATCAACTCTTGAGGGAGGGGGAGAACTTGCTGCTGTACCCGGGAGGCGGCAGGGAGGTGGGGAAGCGAAAGAATGAGAAGTACAAGCTGTTTTGGCGCGATACGACTGACTTTGTGCGCATCGCCGTGCGCTGTGGCGCCACCATCGTCCCCTTTTCGACTATTGGAGTGGAAGATGCCTTTGATGTTCTCATGGACCCTGAGTGAGTGGCCTGCATGTCCGCCGCTCTCGCATGGGGTGAGAAGTAAAAGCTGTTTTGCCGCGACACAGCCGACTTTGTGCGCGTCGCTGTGCGCGCGCTGTTGTGCCACCGTTGTGCCGTTTTCTACCACTGGCGTGGAGGATGCGTTTGATGGACATGGCTCATGGATGGTCCATGATGGACACCGAGTGAGTGGAGGGGAGGGTCTGACCGAGTGAGGGAGTGGCTTTCAGGTTTGCCTTTGGTTGAAAGCCTAATTTGCAAACCTCAGGCGACTGGGGACTGGGTGAGTGAGTGAACAGCCGCCTCTCTAGCATGGTCAAAAGTACAAGGTGTTTTGGTGTCTGTGTCGTACCAAAAGCTGCTTTGGCAGGAAACGATACGACTGACTTTGTGCGCATCGCCGTGCGCGCGCTGTGGCGCCACCATCGTGCCATTCTCCACCATAATGCTTTTGACCACAGAAGCTTGTAAGGCGATCTGCAGTCTAGAGGAAATCTTTAGCAAAGGATTGACACACTGGCGTGGAGGATGCTTTGATGTTCTCATGGACCCCAAGTGAGTGGGGAGTGGGTGGGAAGGAGTGATAAGGAGCGGGAGTGAGTGAGTGACCGAGAGTGCTGAAGGCAGCACTGACCAGTCCTGCTTATTCTCTCCTCCCCCAACCCCCTCCATTTCCCCTCCCCTGTGCTCTTCACCCCACAGGGAGATCATGAGCTCCCCCATCGGCCCCTGGTTGAAGCCAGCACTGCAGGCCACAGGCATGCAGTCGCCCCCCTTCTCCCTCGCCTCCAATGCCGGCCTGCTGCCGCGCCCCCAGCGCCTCTACTTCCTCTTCTCCGACCCCATCCGCACGGACGGCCTGGATCCCACGATCATACGAGACAAGGAGGCGTGCAATCAGATCTACCAGGTGCGTTGCTCCGTCTCTCCCGATCTCCACTGCTACCCCGCTCGCCGCGCCCCCAGCGCCTCTACTTCCTCTTTGGCTACCCCATCCGCACTGACGGCCTGGATCCGGGCATCATACGCGACAAGGAAGGTGCAGCAGGATATACCAGGTGGGTCAGCTTCTCTCTCCCCCTGTCTGCATGAGGTACCGCTGCCTGACTGGCTGGAGCGACTTTTGAGAATTCTCAAAAGTCGCTCCAATATAGCTGCTCTTCCCCCCTGTCTGCATGAGGTACCGCTGCCTGACTGGCTGGGTTGCCTGCTGCCGCGCCCCCAGCGCCTCTACTTCCTCTGTTCCGACCCCATCCGCACGGACGGCCTGGATCCCACCATCATACGCGACAAGGAGGAGTGGAGCCGGATGTACCAGGTGAATTGCTCGCACTCGCTCCCCCTATGAGGAATACACCAGCAGAGAATATAGCAGAGAATATAGCAGAGAACATAGCAGAGAACATAGCAGAGAATATAGCAGAGAGTATAGCAGAGAATATAGCAGAGAACATAGCAGAGAACATAGCAGAGAACATAGCAGAGAATATAGCAGAGAGTATAGCAGAGAATATAGCAGAGAACATAGCAGAGAACATAGCAGAGAATATAGCATGTTTGCTGCCTGCTGCCTCACTCACAGCGCCTCTACTTCCTCTTCTTTGATACGTGACAAGGAAGAGAGTAGTAGAATATGCCAGCTGTGTTGCATTCCCTCTGATCATGCCAGCAACTAGTATCACATCTATTGCTGCCTCGCCCCCAGCGCCGCTACTTCCTATTCTCTGACCCCATCCCCGTCTTCTCTTCTCTCACTCCACCACCTCAGCACGAGATGGTGCGGGGGAGAGTGGAGGGCGGAATGGCGCAGCTCAAGGAATTCCGCCCAGGGCAGACCCATTTGTTCCACCTGTACCATTCACCCCACCACTCCTGCCATTGTCCCTCTCCTCACCCCGTCATGTGCAACAGATGGTGCGAGGCAGGGTGGAGGGCGGAATAGAGCGGCTCAAGGAAATGCACCGGGCAGACCCATTTGCCACCATCCCTGCCATTCCCTCCACCATCCTTGCCATTCCCCCCACCGTGTGAACAGATGGTGCGAGGCAGGGTGGAGGGCGGAATAGAGCAGCTCAAGGAGATGCGCCAGGCGGACCCGCTGCGAGAAACGCTTCCCAGAATAGCGGTGAGGGGAGGGTGGTTGGGCCTCGTTGCGTTGTGAGGCATGTTTAGGCATGCTTTTTTATGGATGGGCATTCAGTCCAGTTTCTATGCGCCTCAAAAGTCGACGCACTGCGAGAAACACTTCCCAGAATGACAGTGAGGAAAGGTTGGTTGGGTCCCCCATGCATGCCCATAGCCCCCAGCTTCATTGATCCCACAGGCCTTGGCCCATAAAAAACATATCCTGCAGCTAGTTCCACTGAAACCATAACCCTGTGGTTGGCTGTGGTTGGGTGTGGTTGCAACTTGCAGGTCAACCTTTTGGACGGCTGGGATGGCACCTGACCCGGGCGACGACAGCGGTTGGATTTAGAGACATCTCAAAACCACGTCAACGGTTGGTTTGGCGCACTCTTTTCATTATCAACTCATAACACCTGGCCTGGCTAGTTTTCAGTAGTCACTTGTATTTTCCTGATTAAAGCTCGCGTCTCATATTTCTGCTATCCAACCAAGTGTTAAACGGTTGGAATTCGGTAACAGCAAAGTTTGTCGCAAAGCACACCAAAGCAAGGGGTGGTTTGGGAAAGTTGGCTGTCGCACACTTCCCGTGCACACCAAGCGTTTACAACTTCCGAAAATATGAGACTCTGTTACGGGTGCAATTGAGTGAACGAACGAGAATTGCACTATCGAAGCAAGAGTACAATGAGCGAAGGCATGAGCGAAGAATATTTAGCGAAACTACAGTGGTAACGGTAATGGACTGTGGTTGTCGCGCGACGGGCCTGGTAGGTTGGGGAAAGTGTCGAAGCGGAGGCCCGGAGCGCGGGTTACCCGCCGAGCCGTGAGGTCGGGGTGCGACGTGCGACAGTGGCGGGCGGATTGTCGATGCGAGGATTGCGAGTGGTAACGGTGCTGACTGTGGTGCTACAGTGATGTACGCGTTGAGCAGGGATGCGAAGTAAGGAAAAATAGATTTTCCTTACACTACCCCCCCCCCTAAGGAGGTCCTCCTTACGAAAGTGCATGTACATCCCTGAAGTTTCGGCTGCGCAGATACTCGGTGAGGACGGGGTGGTTTTCGATTCTATCCAGGGGAACCCAATTATCTTCGGTGGGTGTACGGTCTTTCCAGCGAATCAGGAATTCGATCCTTCGGGCTCCTCGAGGGTCACGGACTCGGTGGCTTAGGATTTTTTCGGGGGTGATGATTGGTTCGGTTGGCGGTCGTGTCATGCTGGCTGGGCGATTGCGTGGCAGTTGGCTCGTGGACGGGACGTAAGGGCGGAGCAGGCTGACGTGGAACGAGGGGCTGACGTACCAGTCAGCAGGGAGGAGGAGGTGGGCGGTGACGGGTGTGAGCATGTGGCTTATGCGAAATGGCCCACAGTATCGGGGGCGGAGTTTTGGGGTAATGGGCAGTCGGAGATTCTGGGTGTCGAGCAAAACTAAGTCGTCGGGCTGGTAAGTGACAGGTCTGCGGTGGCGGTCGGCGTTACGTTTAGCGATGATGTTAGCTTTTTTAATTGCGTCTGCTGCCCTGGTCCGTGCTGCTTGCAAAATTTCGGCGAACTGTTGCGCGCGTGGAACCGGGTTGTCGGGGTTCGGGGTCATGGGTACTGTTGGGTCTTGTCCGTAGTTCAGGTAAAATGGTGACTGTTGGGTCGTGGCGGATGGGGCGTTGTTATATGCGAATTCGATGAGCGGCAGTTGCTGTTCCCACGTGTTTGGGTCGTCGCACGTGGCCCGGATGAGCTGTTCCATGGTCTGGTTTGTCCGTTCTGTCTGTCCGTCTGTTTCGGGGTGGTACGATGAACTAAATTGTAGTCGCGTGCCGAACTGCTGCCACAGGTTCCGCCAGAAGTTGCTGGTGAATTTCGTGTCTCTGTCGCTGATGATTGATGCTGGTATCCCGTGTAGTCGAACGACGGTAGAGATGAAGAGGCAGGCTGTTTCTTCGGCTGTGATTGATTTTTTGCAGGCTGCGAAATGTGCCATTTGTCAGAACATTATAACTTATGCTGTTGTGTAGGCTATAGTGGGGTATTCGATAGGGGGTACAACCAATTAGGGTTTCATATTTGTACTCACTTCATTTCATAGTTCATTCATTCTTGTTCAAATCTTCTCATGGTATCGAGCAGGTTCCCCCTTGGGAACTGTGCTTAGGGCCCACCACATCGTTTTTTTTTTTCCTGCCCGAAGCGCGCTCAGCCCGAGTCGCGCTCCGGGCCCTCACTTCGTCGAGCCGCCCTAGCGGCACTGCACTGCGGCCCCGCCACCCGTCTCCGCGGCCCCGCCGCCCGTCTTCGCGGCCCCGCCGCCTCTCTCCTAGCGGCCCCGCCGCCCTACCTAGCGGCCCCGCCGCCTCTCTCCTAGCGGCCCCGCCGCCCTACCTCGCGGCCTCGCCGCCCCATTGCGCGGCCCCGCCGCCCTACCTAGCGGCCCCGCCGCCCCATCGCGGCCCCGCCGCCCCATCGCGCGGCCCCGCCGCCCTACCTAGCGGCCCCGCCGCCCTACCTAGCGGCCCCGCCGCCCCATCGCGCGGCCCCGCCGCCCCATCTCGCGGCCCCGCCGCCCCATCGCGCGGCCCCGCCGCCCTTCCTCGCGGCCCCGCCGCCCCATCGCGCGGCCCCGCCGCCCTACCTAGCGGCCCCGCCGCCCTTCCTCGCGGCCCCGCCACCTTACCTGCGGCCCCGCCACCTTACCTGCGGCCCCGCCCTTACCTGCGGCCCCGCCGCCCTCTGCTGCGGCCCCGCCACCTTACCTGCGGCCCCGCCACCTTACCTGCGGCCCCGTCACCTGCTGCCCAGCCGTGCCGCCCTGCAGCAGCACAGCCGAGCCGCCCAGCAGCCGAGCCGCCGAGCCGCCCAGCAGCCGAGCCGCCCAGCAGCCGAGCCGCCGAGCCGCCCAGCAGCCGAGCTGCCCAGCAGCCGAGCCGCCCAGCAGCCGAGCCGCCCAGCGGCCGCGCCGCCCAGCAGCGGAGCCACCGAGCCGCCGGGCCGCCCAGCAGCTGAGCCGCCGAGCCGCCGCGCCGCCCTCCTTCAGGGCCGCCCGACCTGCCCAGTCTGGTGAGCACAGCGCCTTTTCACTGCACTGTCCTCACCCTACTGTTTGCGCTGCTAGTCGTCTAGGGTCATGGCTACCCCTAGTGTTCTCGCCTTTGACGCTGAGGGTAGGGCCATTGACTTTGAGGTCTGGGTAGATGACCTGCAGCTGTTCTTACAGTGCGATAGGGCAGACGGCCTCTCTCTCTTTGACCTCACCTCTGGCACCTCCACTGCCCCTGCTGCTGATGCTGACGCCACTGTTCGCTCCCAGTGGGCCACGCGCGACGCTGCTGCACGTCTTGCTGTGCGTCGCCACCTCCCTACCTCCGAGCGTGCGCACTTTAGTCAGTACAAGAGTGCTCAGACCTTGTACGACGCTGTAGTTGCGCGCTACTCCTCCCCTGCCACTGCTGCACTGAGCCGTCTCATGCTACCGTACCTCTTTCCTGATCTTGCTGCCTTTCCCACAGTCACTGACCTCATTACGCACCTCCGCACTAGTGACACTCGCTACCGCGCTGCACTCCCTCCTGACTTCTGCGCCAGGAACCCCCCCCCATGTACATCACTCTTTACTACATAGTCACTCGCCTTCCTGACTCCCTTCGCGTAGTCAGGGACCACTTTCTCTCTGTCTGTCCCACCACTCTCACTGTTGACCTCCTCGAGAAGTCCCTCCTAGCGGCCGAGAAGAGCATAGTCGCTGTAGGGGCCTCTCGTGGTGACCCGCGCACCCCCATCTTTGAGGGGTGTTCCCCCTCCCCCCTTCTGCCCTCTGTTGCCTCTGCTGCTGCGGCCGACCTCCTTGTTCTTGAGTCGGTCGGTGCGGCGTCTGCCCCTAGCGGGAGACGCCGCTCTGGCAAGGGCAAGGGGGGCAAGGGCGCTGGAGGAGCGAGCGGGGGCGGTGGAGGTGGAGGTGGCGGCAGTTGGGGGAGTGGGGGTGGCGGTGGGAGTGGAGGTGGGGGTGGAGGGGTCGGTGGCGGCAGTGGAGGTGGAGGTGGCGGCGGCGGTGGCGGTGGGAGCGGAGGTGGCGGAGGTGGCGGAGGTGGAGGCGGCAGCGGAGGCGGAGGCGGCGGCAGTAGCGGAGGCGGCGGAGGCGTCGGAGGCGGCGGGGGTGGCGGTGGTGCTGGTCGCGGGTCTTCGCAGAGGAGTGGCTCCGGTGGTGGCTCGCGCCAGCAGCAGCAGCGTGGTCGTGACACCCTGTCCCCTCAGCAGCTTCGTGAGTGGTACACTGCGCGTCAGCGGGGTGGGGGTTTTGGTCCGTGCTCCTACGTTTTGCGCACTGGCGACCGTGCGGGTGAGCAGTGTGGGGGTGCCCACCCCACCCAGCGCTGCTTTGGCCGCCTGACGGACGCGTGGCGTCACCAGTTCCCGGAGGCCTCCGAGATCCCTCGCTGGGGCGAGCTGTCTAGGGCGGGTGTTGCCATCTATGATCTTGACTTTGATGCTATTCTCTCTGCCATGTATGCTGTGTCTATTAGTGATGAGGGTGACTGTTACCGGTGTTTCCCGCCCGATCCGGGCATTGAGACTGCTGCTCTAGGTCCTGGTGAGGCTGCTGCCCTAGGTGCTTGCGACGCTGCTGCTCTAGGTGCTCGTGTGTCTGCGTCCTCAGGTACTGGTGAGTCTGCGCTCTCAGGTACTGCGTCGGCTTCGGCCTCCCTCACCTTCACCCTTGACTCTGGGGCGTCTCGCTCCTTCTTTCGGGACCGCACCACACTCACACCGCTGAGTCGACCGGTTGCAGTGTCTCTGGCTGACCCCTCTGGGGGTCCTGTCCTGTCTCACTTCTCCACAGTCCTCCCGTGTCCGGCGGCTCCCTCTGGCACCCTGTCTGGTCTCTACCTCCCCTCGTTCTCTACGAACCTGGTGAGTGGTGCTGACCTACAGGATGCGGGGGTCCACCAGTTCACTCCTGCACGTCAGAGAGTGACCCACTGTACAGAGGCTGGCACAGGCCGACACCTGGCTACGTTCACCCGTCAGCCGGGGTCGAGCCTGTACACTCTGACCACTGCGTCTCCTCCAGTTGCTGAGTCTGGTAGGGTAGTTACGTCGGGTCAGGTGTTTGCTGCGGCGTCCAGGTCTGGTCCTGAGTCTGCCCCCTGTTCGTGTCGTCTCCTGTCTCACGAGACTCTCCTCTGGCACCACCGCCTTGGCCACCCCTCTCTGCTTCGGCTCAGAGGTATGGCCTCCCGTCTTCTTGTGTCCGGTCTCCCCCGGTCCCTCCCTCCCCTTCCTCAGGACCCTGGCCCTGCCTGTGTCCCCTGTGTCGAGGGGCGCCTGCGTGCT